GTACCATTCTCTAATGAAACTAATTATAAAAGGTGTTGTGAGACTATTATTTATTCCCCTTATGGTGTGGGAGGAGCTACATGCTGAGAAGGAGGTATGTGTGTGTCTGTGCCAGAAAGGTGTGTGTGTGTGTGTGTGTGTTGGAAAGACAAAGAACTTCCCCTGATGCCTAAAGGTGGAGATTACTGCAGGGTGAACACACACCTTTATGATTGTTGTTTGTGTGACTGTTGGTCTGCAGTACACAGTACCTGCTGGATCAGGTAGGCAGTCAGACGCACAAAGGAAAGTAGCTGTGATGCTCCACTCTGCTCTGCACTTTTGTCTGGACTGTGATTTCCTGGAAATAGATTTTTCTTGACCTTTGGAATTGGCCCTTTTTTTTGGTTTACTCAGACCTTCTTGTTAACTGAGGTTCAGGGGATTTTCTTTTGTTTTCCTGTGGAAAATGGTCCGTTTTGGTCGCCTGACATCCTGGCACAGCTGGGATCTGCTGCATGTGGACTCAGAGATTCCTGAGTCACCTTCTCCTGACACGAAACCGACATCAACTGAGGTGAGATGTTTGCTGACACGTCTGTGTGCAGTGCTGACACTGAGGATGCAGTGATGAGATGTCCTTTCTCGCTGCTTCTGTAGAATGTAGCAATAATGTTTTATACAATTATTAGTCTATTATTGATCGACATTTCTTGATTCAAGCTTCCCAAATGTGAAGATTTGATGCTTTTGTCTCTCATATATGATAGTAAACTTTAATATATTTGGGATTTTGGCTGTTGGTCAGATAATGTGTTAATATGTTTAAGCTTGATTCATTTTTAGCTTAATGTAATGTCATATACAGTTAAGTTAGTGTGTGATTGTGTATTGGGCTGAGTGTGATGGTGGCTAGGATCTCATTACATTAGCCGTTTGAATGATGGGGGTGAGGTAACTGGAGCATTGTTTTGACAACTCTCATCTCTCACCTCAGGCTGGAGCTTTTTCACTATTGTGGTGGCCATCAGGTCTTGATTATTGGAAATGAAATGGCCTTGAAGCACGCAGCATGTGTTGACCACCGGGGGTTTCTTTTAGTTTCCATTTCCTGGTTGTGTGTTTGTGTGTGTGCGCCAGTGTTGGTGTGTGTCCAGGCTTTCAGGAAGGTCAGTGTCCTACTGTTTTCCCATCATTAATCAACCCACCTGATCAAGGGGAGTTGTTATCAGTTGACTAACATAAAGGCAGTAGCAGCTAGCAGAAAGAGAAGTGGGGGGGTGGGGGTCTCTGTGCTCTGTTTCTCTTTCTTTGTCGCTACGTTATTTTAATACAATCCCTTCCCATTTAAAGATTTTCTCCTTTCCAGGCCAAGGTTAATGCCACAAACCACTGTGATAAGATAAGGGGACACAAGACTTGATATCGTTAACCTGACCGGCCCCCTGCACAAGTCGCAGTTCTCACATCGAGTAGCTCTGTAAAGGGAGATCAGGGTCTGCCCTCTGTCCTGACTGACGGGTTTACACAGGAGGCACAAGGGAAACCTTGTAAACATAATTAGTTAGGCAGACACGACTAGAGCGGCTTAGTGTTTACTGTGAGGGTATATTTGCTTTAGCTGAAGTAAATTGTTGCAGCATTATTACCTGCAGGGATATAACCAACTCCGATTCAAATTACTAGACTGTTTAAGAGCTGCAACTAACAATTATTTTCACTTATCTATTAATGTTATTTTCCGGGTTAATCATTTGCATTGTCAAATACATTGTAAAGAATGATCACAATGAGACTCCTTCAAGGAGCTTGTTGTGTCTGACCAACTGTCCAAAAGATATTCAGTTTGCTAATATATTAAACAGACAAAAGCTGGAACCGCCATTAGACAACCAAAATAACACACACATTATCAAAATAGATGCAGACAAATTTCCTGTCGATCAGCTGAATAGTTTTCACCTCTACAATGTTTTTGTGTGCTCCTAGAGGAGGCGGTGTGCCTGTGCTTATCTACTGGGCATAAGCAGCCTATCAAATGTGCTGAAACATGCAAGTAAACAAAGGGAATTTCCCGTTTGGCCATTATCGGGGCATTTACTTTCCTTGTTTTGGCCAACTGGCATGGCATTGTTCAAAGGTCTCCAGGCAAAACAGTGATTTGAGATAGCGCAAAGAATAGTGGACCAACTTCAAATAAGAGTAAAGAATGAAGCGTTCCCATTTGTTTACAGCCTATAATTGTCTTGGTTTTTATTGGGTTTGCTTGGAATGAAAGCTAATCTAGCACTAAATGGGGGGGAAATAGCTGATACCAGAATATACAAGTGGAATTCAAATATGTATTCAACATAAGTAAGTGGGTTAGTTTATTTCGACTTGTGAGCAGCCTGTTGAGTCTGACCTAAAGAGCATTTGGCAGCTTGAAGCACCAGGATGTGCGTTTGGATCAGGGAGCTCCCTACAAGCTGTCACACTGACTCCACCTCCAAATATTCAGATCAGCCTTCCCTTCCCCTGTTTTTTTTTGGCCCCGGCCCTCCCTCCTCTTTCCTGCCCGACACAATGAGGCAAGATCCTCCTGGTTGCTATGACTTCAAGCCAGTGTCTGTATGAAATGCAACCACTGACTGTTTGGACAGCAGGACAGAACAGAGATACGTCCCCGGTTCAAAGAGAAGCTGCTGTCGGGCACGGCAGGACGCGGCGGCCAGACACCACGCTCACTGAGCAACCCGGACCCTGTCAGCTGGAACGGGGACGCTTCGTGGGCTGAGTGAAAGTTCAACGCAAGCCTCTTGATGGGGGAATAACGTGGCAGTGTTACAGTTGTCACTCAGCTTCTCTGGACTGATTTGGCATCTTAAGTCGGGACAGCAAGGACGGCGTGGATGTGCTTGTTTCACGGTGGAAGGGGAAAGAGAGAGAGAAGAGGAGAGGCTAGAAGTTGAGAGAGCGCAGCAGCTGGCTCCAGAATGGGCTGCGATCCATGAATCCAATTGAAGGATTAGGATGGTTTTTGTTACTTTTGACATGCCTCTGGCTTCAATGGTGAGCACTGTTAATATGGTGGGAAACTGCTGGTAGCTTCTATCCCTGTGTCCTTTTAATTACAACCTCCTGGCCTTGTCTTTGAGAAACTAGTTTCTTCTTAAAGTTATGTTCAAGATGTTTGCGATCTTTAACTGTAACTGCAGTATATTTGTTTCTAAGTGTGTCAGATTTCTTTTTATATGTTATGCTGAAGCTTCTTTTTAGAAAAGCTCCAATATTTGTTATTTTCTCTGTCTTTATTACACCTATAACACACGCGAACACAGACTAAACTAACCGGGTTTGAGCTTTCCCAGCGGTGTGCTGTCAGTAGCACTGGGTGCAGACTTTCCTTGTTTGTCCACGGAGACTGAACACTTCCTGACACCTGTGTCCTTGACCAGTTGGCCCTGATTTTCCCCCTAACTGGGTCCTGGCTTGTTTCCCTTTCACTAAAAGCTCTAAATTTAAGCCATTTTCCCTTTCACTCCAGCTTTTTGTTTTAAAGCCAACATGTCTATTTGCAGTTAGGTCACTCTCCTCTGTGGTAATCATTTAAAAAAAAGATAAAAGGACTGAAATCTGTTTTAAAACCTGCAGGACCCCCCACTCAGATTTACTATCTTGTTACACAACTCTGTATAGGCCACTCATGTGCCTTTACTCTAGTTAAGTGGCTTCACAAAGACCTGTGGGTGCTCTTCCTAAAATGGGAACATGTGCAATGCAGAACAGTTTGACTAGAACTATTCATAATATTTACATTTAATTCTGTTACATATACATGCCACAAACCTATATACTGTGATAAGTCTTTATCTGCAGTGTAATGGATGCTGTTTACGTCTAGTAGCTGGGATGCACAACTTCATCCAGTCTGCTCGTTCGTGCAGTTTGTCTCCATTAATTCGAAGCTTGACTGTCTGTGCTCCTGTTTTTGTCGCCCAGTTTTACAGTTTTAGTTTGAGTTCCTCAATAAAAGTTCTCTTCTTCCTGTCCAGCCTCTATAAATCATATGATGGAAGAGAGGGGTTGGTAAAAGTCTGAGAGGAGGACTACAGGCCTGGAAAAGTTACAGCAAACTCGGTTACAAAGTTACAAAAACTTGTAACTGCTAAAAGATGCTACAATTGGCAGTTAATCAAAGACAAAGAGAGTAAAAAGAAAGTAAAGGAGAGTCCTTAGTACAGTGTTGATCATAAAGTATGAGGTCTCTATCCACAAAAACTAAACGTTTGCCGGTCTTGGGCAGAACTGCTGCATATGTTAAAAAAAGTTGCATAATACACTTTATGGTGACTCAGAGAGAGATAGATAGAGATATAGATATATATTATTATAATATGAGAGCTGAGTTTAAATGAAAAAAAAAATCTGGGGGTGTGGAGTTAAGAAAGTAGTAAACCTAAGCAGATCTCTGTAGCCCGATCATTGCTGAAGCACAGCAGCTCGAGGTAGGAGATAACACACCCGAATCTACTTTTGGAGGTTGATCTCTCTGATTTCTCGATTTTTGACCCTTCCTGTTTGTGTCGATCAGAAGCTCAGCAGTGTAGGAGTCCATCGGCGGATGATCTCTGTGGTTAGTGTATTAATGACACAGCAGTGTATATTTTCTTAGATAATCACTCATTTTAAAAGCACTGTAACAACTTTCATGACGTGTTATTTACCGTATTGAGATAAATGTTTGCTTTTGGGGGGGTTTGAGGACCACTTCTCATAGGCTGGGAAAAGGTGTTTTGATAGCTTTGTGTGTGTGTGTGTG